GACTGCCATATCAATCATATGTTCTTGTTGTATGTACTATTTTAATTTCCTTTGTCTGTTTTTCTGTTAACTCTTTGAACCCTCTGTTAACTGCTTAATAATTATTTAATACTTGTGAGTCTGTCCTGTCGTAGGGTCTTATAGCTGCTTTTGCTTGTTCCTTTGTTAATATATGCTTATCCACATTTTTAATGGTTATCATTTCATGCTGAGTTCTAAGATGTTTGATCAAGGGTGTGGCTAAGTCTGAGTCCCTTTTTCCTTCACACCCTCATAATTGAAGAGAACGTTGCCCTTTCCTTTCAACTTTCCCATGAAACCTTCCGTGAATTTGGCCGGATAAGATCAGATAGTGCCAGTGGTTGGGAAAAAGTTTGATTGTCATGAGGGGCTGACTTTCATGTGGAATGGGTTAGCTTATAAGTCAATTCTAGCTCCTTCTTTTCATTCCTAAGTGGGTGTCAATTATTACTTTATGTCTTGCTCGGATCTTAGGTGTGCATCTTTTGACTACTAGTTGCAAGGCTTTTTTTTTGGTGCTGCGAATTTTGAGACATAGAAATCATGGTCTTCAATGCATTATCCTCCTCTCTTATCCCTCCCCCCCTCCCCCATACCAAACATACACACCACTTTTCTCTCATCCTTTACTTTCTTTTTCTTAACCTCTTGGCTGCTCCAGTAGGTAGTGCTGTTGGTGGTGCACTAGTGAACTTTGCCTGCCATTGTGTTTTAAAGTTTGTGGCCTCGTATAGGCCCTACAACTAGGAGTTTTATTTGCTGATGCTGCTCCTATTTTGTTCCTTCCTCATCGATGTACAAGCTGAGATGGCCAACTTGGACCAGCTCTTCTAAGTAATACTTCAAAGGCCGACAGTTATCAATCATGTGCCCGACATCCCAATGGTAGGTACGCCAAAGGTTCGAATTCCTCTTCTCTAGATCGCCAGCCAATTTGGGGGGCCACTTGATGCACGGTTTCCCTATGATGTGATTAAGGATCTTGTAGTTCTATTCTTTTAAAATCGTGTTCGTTTGTCCAAGTAAGAGTGTGGGGATACCAGACTTTCATCTTGTCCTTATTTGTCGCGTGAACTTGGTTTTGATTCTTCTTACTGTTTGACTTCCTGTTGGGCTACTTCTTGGGGAACTCCTTCCTCAGCTCATTTTTTTGCATATATCTCCACTCTGATCATCAGCTCGTCCATGTCAAGAGCATGTCATATGTTTAACAATTGATATAACAGGTTTTCCTAGGGCAAGCGGAGCGTAATTTAAAGCAGTGGCTATTTTTGGGTTTCAGTTCTCGATATCATTCATGGCCCGTGTAATCATGTAGTGTCTCCTATGTTTCCTTTAGTAAGAGCAACACCCCGCTGTCTTTTGGGTGTTGACTACGCGTGGTGAAGTAGTGAACTGTTTGGCCAATTGCACCAAACTATTGATCTAGTTAATCCCCTATCCCCCCAAGCTACTCGCTAACATGGTACATTAAAGCCCCGTTCCTTCAGAGGGGGTGTTTGGATCGTCATGGGTGGATTGAATTGGGTTGGATTTGGATTTGAATCTAATCCAACGTAATACAAAGTAGTCTGAGTTGATATAATCTTAATGAATAGTATCTCATTCTATCTCATTTTTTTATGAAAAACATTTGTTTTGTGAGCTTCATTTACAAGTGTAGATGAAAGATGGTGAAATGATCATTGCATCTTTTGTAAAGAAATCTAATACAATCATATATTAACTTTGGATTGGTATGATGACAATTCAAAATAAGGATGATTAGGTACTTAGTTTTGAACAAAATTTTAATTTAATAAATTGCGTTTTTTAACAACACAAAGTCGAAAATTTGTTCATAATTTTTTTAATTGAATTTTGTACAAAACACAATTCATCACAAAATCATATAAATCGCCCATCAAAAGTAAATGTAGAAAAATAAATTGTAATCTGAAAATACTACTTATCGAGAAAAAAAAACATACTAATAGACAATCACACATTATACATAGGTTTACAAACCACCAACAATTTGTCTTTATGGAGACCTTCCCTAACAAAAAAGTGAATACAATTAAGGTTTTTAATGGGACCTAAATAAATATATATGCATTGTACAAAGAGCATACAAAATACAGGCAACAAAGATGGTGATAATTCTTTCGTTTGTTCTATTAGTGTAGTTACACATATACTAATCGAGCAATGCTATTAGGATCTAATTTATTGATATAATTTGCTGACCTAATTCATTGTGATATTTGGATTGATTGTAGACCTTATCAAATATTAGAACTTGGTGTTAATCCAATGATTCTTATAAAGTCATAACATTATATTAATAAATTATGTCAAATTTTTAAATCTAAATAACATTATTCATACCAAAATGACCTATGGATACAACCATAATTAAGGGGTACCATAATGAGTAAGGGTTAATTGTAAGCAATCAATCGTCAACGATGATGACATCAACTTTTGGGCTTGAGTTAACCAATGGGCATGATCCTATGTTGTCTAAAGGTTGGATACTTGATGAATGAACATCATTTTTGAAAATAATTTCGAAAAATTGGTAGTTCAGAAAAGGATCTAGACAATACTCTGTAGCAAAATCTATTTTCTGTATTGTGTAGTTACAAACAATATATAAATAAAACGTTTGATACTCAAATGAAACAAAAATCTAAATGTACTTTCAACTGAATTTAATAATCTGCACTTACTTCCAAATATTCATCTGATCCCTCCATCGAATCTTTTATCACACATTTGGTTTGATTGTCCCATGAAAATTTTCCTGTCTCCAACATCTCATCAATGGTGAAATATCAACGTTCTCAAAAAAATATTATCCATAAAAACTCAGTTAATGATAAGCTAAATCATGACATATGCCTACGTAGTACATCCAACAATCGATCGATTGTCTTCTTGTCAAACCTCCCGTAGGGAGGTAACAAATTGCGATTTTTGTAATCAATTGACGTGTTAATTAGAACTTTTGTTTAATCATCATTAATGTTTGATATCTTCGTACCTAAGTAATAAAATAACAATTTCACATTAGCTACCAAATACAAATATTAGATTTATCAATTCATGTATTGCTGAAAATGCTAAATTAAAACAAACACATGTAAGGACATTCTACCCACATGGACAAGCATCCATTTCATAAGCACAAAATGTGACACTTAAACCATTCACTCAAATATTAGCTTGTCCTCGGGACATTCTTCACTTGTTGTGCATATCAAAGGCTAACTGATTTCGAAACAATGACCATTCAATAGATGTCTCCACAATGTCTATCACATCATTCACATCTTCACCCTCAGCATGAATTACATCAGGCAACTCATCCTCAATTGGGTCTATACTCATTTTATTCTTGATCAAGTTATACAACAAACAACACGCAATTATAATGCGATTATGCGTGCAAACCGGATAGTAGCACAGTGTCCTAAGTATCGCCCATCTATTTTTCAATAAGAAAAAACATCTCTTAATGCATGTCCTTGCGGCTGAATTCCTGAGGTTGAACAATTCTTTGGCATTAAGGAGAGTCGCTGCACCAGTCCCAAATTCTGGTATATGATATCTTTGACCCTTGAATGATGCTAAAAATCCCTACCCATTAGTGTAGCCAACATTAACTAGATAATAGGTGTCTATGTTGTATAAAATATTTTAATTAATCTAACACGATGTATATAAAATTTCAATTATATTTCATTGTACCATTGCAATATTCTACTTACCATGTGCTACCTTCAAGCCATTAGGCATAGTCTTAGCATCACGTAATNTTTCAATTATTTTTCATTGTACCATTGTATTATTCTACTTACCATGTGCTACCTTCAAGCCATTAGGCATAGTCTTAGCATCATGTAGTATTCTAGAATCGACAGCGGACCCCCCAAGCCAGGAAGCACATAAATGATTTTCATGTTTGGTGCACAAACACCCAACACATTTGTTGTTATTCTACCTCTACATGTTCTATATCTAGCTTGATTGACAAGAGGTAATCGAGCAGAAATATAAGTGTTGTCTAAGATACCCACACAATTCTACAACACTGAGAAAAAAAAAAGTGCATTAGGGTAGTATCACCTTACATACCAAATGTAAAAGGGAAAATGGACAAGAGGTAAATAAAGAGACATAAGATTTACCTTAAACCACTTCCATTTCTGATTAATGTTACTTGCAAGTACTGGTTCAGGTGCCATTAATAACACTCGTCGCAACCTCAATACTACACTCAAAACATTATTGAAATGTCGACTAATGGTTTCACCCGATCAAAGGAATTGTACTTAATTGACCTATTTTTATTATTGTGAACTAAAATATTTAAGAACATTGGTACCATATTCTTAACACTAACACTCCTAGTTGGATTTAATCCTCCTTCATCGCGAACCAAATTGTATAGTACCCCAAATGTGTCTGTCCATCCGCAGTTGGCTTATACAAGTTCTATCACTTTCATCAATGAGACGGTGTAAGTGTTCCATCTGTAATTGATTCTTATGGAAGGGTCGTGGGACCACAGATGTTGTCAAATTGGTTTCGATGTCCCATATCGCGACCATTATAGATAGCAGAAGGTGAAACACAATTACCATCTCCTTGATGATCCTATTCATAATGGTAAGCAAAATACACACTTCTTCTCTAGGGTTGTCCATGTTTACTGCAAAGGTAATTTAAATGACACATTTACACTTGATAAAAAAATGTCAACTACAAGTTAAAGAAACAAATGTTTTTTCGTAAACAACAACGATTACGGTATGTGTTAGTAAAGTCAAAATTTAAACAAAAAAGTTAAGTTTAGTAGGTCTAGTTGGTTCCCAGTACAATTAACATTCACGTCTATTAACATGTTCTCATACATCTAGAGAAGAACAAATCACAGAGCATCAACACAGCAAATAAAACAATGCCACTTGTACATGACCTCAGATAAATATTTGCACATTATTTAATGGCACAAAACAATGGTTAGTGTTGACAGAATGTATTACAAATACAAATACAATACGATGCGATACGATACATGCAGTACCTGGTTTGCAGAGAGGTAAACGAAACACTGCTAAACAGAAATAGTGTGTTTTAGTCTATTGCGATTCTGACATTTGTATAGTTTAATTATAACTATTTTTTCTCAGTAATATCAATGGGGTTAAATCGGATTCGTTGTATTATTTCTAATTTTTTCCTTACATTGGATTCACCTCAAATTGATCCAACCTCATTGGTTTTTCTTAACTGGAAGTTGCCTTTCACCCCACCTCTATATTTCTATTACTTTCCACATATGACTGGGTACCCTGAATTTCCTACTACTAAAGTGTTAGAATGAATTAGTTGTTTCACTTGTTTGTGTGTGTGTGTGTGTGTGAGATGGTTTACAAGAAATGCTCCGATTCAGAAAAAATTCAAAATCCGCCCAATACTCTCAGCTTGAGGCTTGAGCTTACAAAAGGGATGAATATGGAAACCCTGGTTCAGGGGACAACACTCGAGGTCCATACGAGACACACAGCAGTGGACGAAGAAGGGGGTAACAGCGACAGAGACATAGACAGAGAGACAGAGAGAAGATTAGATCCAGAGCGCGAAAGAGCAGATCCAGAACGATGGAGATCAGATCCACAGTGACACATACAACCTATCGACAACGAGAGATAGAACAGATCAGATTTCATCGTTGGATTGGTTGAAGTACAAAAATTTGATTGGTAAGGACTTCCATGTGACACAGACAACAAAACCGAAGAAAAAAAAGGAGAGAGAGAGAAAGAGAGAGGGAGAGAGAGATCGATCTGATATGTGAGAGAGTAGCAGTGGTCCACCATGCCCTTTTGTATCAAAGCCCCTGCTTATACATCTTCTCTCAATCAACCTTCTATTCTTGTACCTTATAGGCATAGGTGTGTATATAGAGAACTAAAAGACTAAAACTTCTAGACTAAAGCATAACTGTCGCCTCGTTTGTATAGCCTTTTGTGAACATACATGATGTTATTTGGCATAATCGGAAAGCGAAAACAGAACAAGTGAGATATATAGTTAATATTCACGTTGTCCACTTACAAGTTTATTATAGGATGGTGGCAGGACATGACAATGGTGACAATGGTATCACCATTACACCCAATAGTTACTCCTCTCCCTCTCCCTCTCCCTCTCCCCCAAAAAAGTATCTATTGACCTCTCTCTCTCTCTCTCTCTCTCTCTCCCCCCTCCTCACGCACACTTGAGCAGATGAAAATCTGAACAAACTTTATTAGTTTCAGTTTTTATTCCATCACTCATTACGATTGTCAAGTCACTGGAGGTCGTCTTCTTTTTTGAATCGGAGCGATTTGAGCTGCCTTCATGCTCCAAGCGCTGAGACTTGTGATAGTCACACTTTGAGAGCCATAGTTAAATGCATAAAGGTGGGCTTCTTCACCAATAGCCAACTCTGGATAAACTCTTGCAGTGATGCACGCCCTTCCTTCATCACCAAAACTTTCAACAATAGAATGGTCTATCTGCAAAAGGAACATAAACAGAAAGGATGTTAATGAACCAAGAAAGAAGATCTTTACATGTCATTCATTCAGATTCATGTCAAACTTTGATGTATATGCCTCTTTAAGTTTTTCTATAAGGTAGTTGGTAAAAACCAACATTCAAAAGCTTATCATAATTCAGTTTTTCGAGTTCTTGGTTCAATAGTGAGTCATCTTGTGCTTCAACAGGAAGAAAAATTGTGAAGATATAAAAATGGTCAAAAACTAATATGAAGAACAGTAGAAATGAACAGAATCAAGTAAGATTTTCACAGGGGAACTAAGACTAGAATCAAGTAACATGATATAATTACATTTTCACAAGGGCTTGTAGCGTCTCGCAGATAGTAACATGATATATACATCAGCCACATGAAATGTAGTTTGATCATAACAACTTGCAGCAAATGGAAAACACAAGGTTGTTTTCCATTGTTACTTTCAAAGCAATTACTGCATAATTCTATAGAATCCAACTCGAAAATCTCATGCTTGAGTGGAGATCCAGCCATAGGAAATGGCAAAATGAAACAGACGGGTTGGTTAGTCTACAATACAAGTGAATTAATTCAAGGCTGACGCAAAAATGGAAGGAGCTTTCAACAACATTGCAAGTTTTTAAACAAATCCAGAGAATATCGATTAAAAAACGTCTATGCTACCAAGAAAATGACCCCAGATTAGTTTCACTATTGCAATAGCATAGGCTATAGCTGTCATTAATTATAAAAACACACAAGAAGAAAAAAAGAGGGATGAAAATCCAACGACGACTCTTTATCTGTGAAAATTAAGAGGACTAGTCTTCTTATAAGTCATATCACTGCGTATTGATCTAACACCACAAGTGTAATAAGCTTGAGGGTAACATACCAAGGTTCTCAATGAAATATTCTCACGATGAGGGTCTATTTCAATGAAAGCTCCAAAGGTGGTTTTGTTAATCTCTTCTCTGAAAGAAGACCTGTGTAAAATTTTCTAAAGTTCAAAGAGAAGAATCATGATATACATGACTTGGTAATTGGCATTTGGTCAAGTTAAATACCAACCTGCTTTGATCACTACACAAGAGTGCAACATACTTGTCGTGGCCTTTGAATATCTTGAAGAAGATAGCAGTTCGTTCAGTCAAGTCCTTTGAAGCCAAAACCAACAAACCAAATGGCCCAATAACCCGTCTCGTAGATGCATTCTTTTGGCTACAAAGCAATTGGGGATCGACAAATTGAGATTCCATAAACTCTGCCTCTTCAAAATTTGGCAAATCAAATGAGACTTCTACATCAGCCTACAATAGAAACAAATTTAAATGTCATTGTATGTAAATTTGATTTCAAAGCACATATAGTCAAAGAAACAGGATTGTAAGTAGTTACCTGTGCAGCCATGACACCTTCAATTTCGAATACAGATCCACCCTTAAGCTCTTTGTTTTGGTAATTAACTCTTTCTGCACGTTGTTTTTCAATTTCTTTGATTGGCCATTGTATTAACTGCTTCCCATTTTTATCCAGCAAAATTCTTCTTGGCATGGACTATGAAACAAAACACATCCAATTGTTATGCCCAGAAGGCAAGGCGCGATCATACATGCACATACCTATAGAGTGGTGCTTACCAAAAAGAAAAGCTAGTTTTGATATGAAGACAGCAATGAAGAAGATAGAAATTGAATAGAATGGTAAGACCAAGATTACCTGAAGTCCAGACCATTTTTTGTTGATGTCATCTGTTTTACTATCAGCCTCTAATATCCATCCCCACAATATCCTCCTCTTTTTGGAGCTGTCATAAAATGTTTTGGAAGCATAAAAATTTCCATAATCATATCTCAATTGGAAACTACTATCCATGAAGTCAGTTTGGGGTTCAAAACTGTCTGTTTGGGGTTCATAGTCTCCTATTATGTAATAGTCATGGTCATTAAAGCTAGCCTTAAGCACATGCTTAGTAGCTCTACCTTGCACCGATGAGTTAAGTCCATTTTCTCCTTTAATATCAAGAGGATAGAAATCAGGACACTCCCACATTCCTGTTTTAAGCGAGAAATGAAGAGGATCTTGACTCCTTGTCCAATTGATGAAATCCTTACTTCGATATAGAAGTGCCATTCCATGACCATCAATCTGGCTTCCAACGACCACACGCCAAATTCTGTCTGGCCCCTGCCAAGCAGTCGTTGGGTCTCTGAAAAAATTTGGATCAATATCGCCAACTGGGGTCATCAAAGGATTATGATCCGATTTTACCCATTCAATAAGGAGTGGATCTGATAAATTTTTGGGCACTGCCAAGTTTTGAACTTGGTGTTTCTTAAAGTCATCTCCTGTGTATAGAATAACAGGTTTCTCCCCCGGGAGGATTGTGGCAGAACCAGACCAGCACCCATTGATGTCATAAGGGTCTGTTGGATTAATAGCATATTCAAGAAGAATCCAATTGATAAGATCATATGACACTGAATGACCCCATGAAATGTTACCCCATACAGCAGCATATGGATTGTATTGATAGAATAAATGGTAAATTCCCTTGTAGTACATTGGTCCTGTTATACATGGATCAAAGTCAAACTAAAAATGTGAAAAATTTCTCATAAAATTCAGGTTCATCCTGTCTTTCTATTAACTATTTAGGAATAAAATGCAGAACTTACAACTCTTACCATTTGGATCTGAGATTCATCAGCAGCAACCGATTGCCATTACGTTCCGCCAACACAGCATGTCAATGACAGGAAGAAGGCAAGTCATAAATTTAGCCCATTATATAAGGCTGTAAATGGAGGTAAGTTTGTAATGAATGAAGTGAATACATACCATTCATCCAGTTTTTAGGAGGCTGGAAGTGGTAGGCAGTCCTGTAAGGCTGTTGTTCCTCTGAAGGAGATTGAAGTTTCTTTTGAATATGACTAGAGTCTCCAACTTCAACTCCATGGACACCCATGAAAGAGTATATGAAAATCACCCAAAAAACAGGTCCTCCCATGTTTTTCTCTTTCTTCAAGTATGTAACAAAATAGTTGATG